CCTTTGCAGTACTTCTAATTTTCAGCACTTCTGGACTTTCTGCCATTGTTCGTACTATCGCCTCTCCTTGGAGGGAGCGCTAAAACCAGCAGCACGCTTGCTGGTTTCATTTGGTGCTTTCCAAGGGATGGCGACAGTTTCACACATTTGAGCAAGTGCACAGCCACGCCATTTATACTTTCCTCGATCACGTTCAGAGACTGCTGTTTTTCACAGCAATACCCTGCACTGCCAGTGCCATGCACTGATATCGTGGCTCAGTTAAGCTGCTGTTCCACAGGGAGTTCCTAACTACACACACACGCACACAGGAATCTGAGCATCACCCAAGGATAAGCTGATACTCCCTGAACGGAGCCGTTATCACTGGGTAGGGTGAACATGATGCCCGTCGTAAACGGTGATCTTGTCACTGTGCCTAACGATCCAGGGTGAAACAGTAATACTATTGTTTTAGGGGGGGTTAAAAACCAAACATTTTTTGTTTTATAGCACAGCTTTCGCGTAAAGGTATCACACAGTTGTTTCCAGAAAAATAAAAATTACGGAATCACAAACTAAAACTCCTAAATCAGTAAGGTGGTGGTTAGGGCTTTATAAATAGCTATATGCAAAGCTTTGCAGAGCAGCAGCAGGAGAAATTTTGAGGGGCACAGACAAAGGAGAAGAGCTTTTCAGGTGGCAGTTTGAAAGGATCGAGAGAAGGACTCTTAGGGAGGCGACGTGAAGGGGCGGTTAGAAGCTGATGAATAGCGTTTACTGATGTGCTTGCTCCATGCGTACTTACCTCTACTGGGCAGCCTTTGGACTACGAGGAAGATTTAGAAAAAACAACAAAGTTGTTCCATGAGCAGCGAATGAGCCCTAGTTCCCTACAGATTCCTCTGTCCCCACGCTCCCCCACGCCCAGCTCCAGCACCGTTATCCCTGCTCCCTCTTGTGCCCCGCTCCCACCTCTGCTGGGCACTCGCCAGCAGGAGCAGGGCCTGGCTGAAGCTCAGGGCCTCCCGGCTCCCGGGCAGGAGCGCACGGATCAACCGGGGCCGCGGCTGGGAGGACCCTGGCGCGTCCCCAGTGGAGGAGCTACCCTGGATCCGTCTTCCCCGCTCAGCAGTGACATTTCACAACTTGGAACAAGAGGTTAAAAACCTCCAAAAACAGTTCCATTTTAGCAAAGTTCAGTGAAATCTGGTTGAAATTTGCCAGCAGATCCCAAGTTATTCAGAAAGGGTGAAAGAGGGTAGGACATACAGAGAGCACAATTACATACAACTCATGTTCTTAGAAAGTCCAGCACATCTTCCCCTTCTAAATTAAAATCAAATGCAGTAATAAAATAAGCATGGAGTGGCCTGGCTCCCACCGTTCCCATCGGAAACAGAATGATTCTCACTTCACAGAATCACAGAATCCCAGAACGTTAGGGATTGGAAGGGACCTCAAAAGCTCATCCAGTCCAATCCCCCTGCCGGAGCAGGAACACCCAGATGAGGTTACACAGGAAGGCGTCCAGGCGGGTTTTGAATGTCTGCAGAGAAGGAGACTCCACAACCTCTCTGGGCAGCCTGGGCCAGTGCTCTGTCACCCTCATTGAGAAGAAGTTTCTTCTCCAATTGAAGTGGAACCTCCTGTGTTCCAGTTTGTGTCCGTTACCCCTTGTCCTATCATTGTTTGTCACCAAGAAGAGCCTGGCTCCACTTGTCTTTAAAACTATTCTGTCCAGCCTGTGTGTGTCTGGACCACGCACTAGGCTGAAACCTGTCCCGGTTCTGAAGACTCAATCCACAATCTTGCTGATTTTGAAAACTGAGGCCCTCATCTAATTTACAGTTCTACATTTTCATGCATTTCACCAGAGACTTTCATGGAAAACTGATCTTGCGCATTTAATAGATTTATTCTTTTCCATAAAAATATTTACTCTTAAATATTTATTGATCATCTTTCATCTGACTTACTGCTGGGCACAGGTAGATTAGCTCTACATTTTCACAACGCTTAACCCAGGGGTAATTATTCAAGCAGAGGCAAAATCAAGCTTATATTGGTTGAAAGAAAACTTAGTTTAAAAATGAGTAGTTGTCACTGCCATAAAAGCCAACACCTGCTTTACAACAAGATGAACAAGTTCTGAGGAACTGAGGAAGATGAGGGCAGTGGTGAACTGGCAGAACTGTGTTCAAAGCACAGCCAACCCTAGCGCACACGATGCAGGAAATACTGGGTTAGAATACATAAAATGAAGGAATTCACGTATGTTAAAAGTTATGTTAAAATCCCAAAGACCGGTACACCTACAGCCTAAACACCATGATAGCAAATTTAATATATGTAAAACTTCAAGGTCAGTGTACCCCATAATAAAATCTCTTATAAAATATTAAAATACTTGCCACAACGGCAAGTGGATAACTGCAAAGTTAATGTTATGGGGAAACCAGCTATAAATTAAGGCCCTACAGATCAGCCAGCGATTTACAGCTGAAGTAGATAATCCACCAAATGAAACGTCCGTTTCAAAAGCCATTCTAATATTCAAAACTGTGCAAAATATTTCACAGAATCACAGAATCGCTCGGTTGGAAAAGCCCTCTGAGATCATCACGTCCAACCGCTCCTGTCTACCCACTAAACCATATCCTTAAGTACCTCATCTACCCGCTCTTTAAACACATCCAGGGATGGTGACTCCACCACCTCCCTGGGCAGCCTGTTCCAGCTTCTGACGACCCTCTCAGTACAGAACTTCCTCCTTATCTCTAACCTGAACCTCCCTTGGCACAGCTTGGTGCCGTTTCCCCTTGTTCTATCCTCCATCACCTGGGAGAAGAGACCAGCACCCACCTCTCTACAACCTCCCTTGAGGCAGTTGTAGGTGGTGATGAGGTCTCCCCTCAGCCTTCTCTTCTCCAGGCTAAACAAGCCCAGTTCCCTCAGCCGCTCCTCATTTCATTAAGAAACTTAAAAAGAAGCTATGGCTGAGAAGTTAAAAGCAATGCTTTCCACTGGTGCTGATACTGTGCTGAATACTGATCACAACTAAACCCAAACAGAAAATCACAGACTCTGTTTAAAGCCCATTTACACAGTGAAGCTGCGTGTCCTGCTGCACTACCTATTTTTTCCAGAATATGCAGCTAAATCATGCAGGATGCTGAAAAGCCAAAGAAAACGTTGACCAAGTGGTTTGTTCAGGTTTCCAGTGCTCCCAGTGATCAGAAGCATTACCTGTTCTGGGTTCAGTGACGTCACGGTAAAACTTGCATATTCATAAAACATTAAAAAAACCCCAATTTGAAACGCACCCATGAACTCAATGCAATTCCCTCCACAGATCTCCAGAGAACCATCTGCACGCACACCCACGGTGCATTATTGTTGGACTCTTTGATCTACCTTTGTCCCCTTGAACTTCACGTGTAGAAATGATGTGGCCTTTTCCACTGCGTCCTAAGAACAGATGTTGTAAATTCAAGTTTCGGCAAAGCAAAGCGGTCAATCGGCTTTTGTAAACCTGAAAGATGGAATCGACTTTCTGACTCATCTGCCCTTTGCAGCTGGAAAGCAGCAGGGGCCATCTGGGACTCTGAGGTGCTGCTGCACCAGCACTGCTTACCATGGCACGTACGAAGGATGTGTAATGGTTTCCTTTGCAGCCGGGACAAACTCCATCGTTTTAGTGGCCTGTTTGTTACACCCTGAGCAAGCTGTGTGTAACCTGAGTCAGAAAAGAGAACCCCAAACATATTTCCTGTTTGACAACTATATATGCACACAGGAAGAGCCATCAGACAGCATTTCTGTACTGCCTGCAGTGACTTGGGCCACAAACCCCTGTGGCAGCTCACAGGTCAGCAGTGACCTTCCCAAGTTTCTCCTTCTTCACAATATAAAGACCAGTAACAAAAATTCCTTTCCAGCCCTGAGGGGTTTATCTTTTCTCCTATTTGTTATAACCTGAACCACCAATTCAAGCACCTGGGACTTCTGTAGCTCACCAAGCAAGCTGTGGGCATGGCCCAGAATGGAGCAGAACCCCTAGGAGACATTCTGGCCTTTACTGCCTGGACCCACACGCAGTGACTCGATGAGCTGTGGCTACAAGAACACACAAAGTTATTGGAAGAGCAGAGGATTTATCTTTTTTTTAAATAAATCAGGAAGAGTTTGTTGATGGATTGATGATTGACACTACTTAGTTCTGCTGCCGAGAATACATTTTACACGGTAGCTGCTCTTGAAGCATGAATTTATGTTCCTCTCCTTCTTCACCAGTGCCTGCTCCAGGCTGTGTGGCCTAAATGACTACACGTAATCGCAGCTGCTCTCTCTTCTTTCTCAACCCCAGCTGAAAGGGCAAGGTGCCCCATGGGATGACAAACACCCCTGCACGTGCTCCAGAACCAGCAGTGTCTTCATTAGCCATTTTGTTCCAGTCACTGTAGAAGTGCTTTAAATGGTTTCACACAGGAATGAAGAACATGATCCTTTGCAGCTCATCCAATATAGAGGCAAAATATTTACTTACACTTCACAGACTCCATTAATAACTATAAAGCTTCTCTCTCTGTGTTGCTCATTTATGGTCTAGTTTTGCATCCACAAGGAACACTGCACCCTAACACTGCAGCTGTAACGTACACCAATGATGCTCAGGAGAAGGTTAAAAGATGACAAAAGAGTCTGAGAAAAAATGGATCGTGTATTTATTGACTTAAAGGTGCTTAAAAACCTCAGTTTGTAGGCAGTAATTACTTTATTTCATATAACCAGGTTAGTTTACACCTCTGTAGAACTGCCAAGTGTTTTCATTCTACTACACAGCAAACAGGGAATACTGCTGTTTACTTTTAGCTTTTCTACCAAAAAGCAGCTCTGCTAAATTCAGGAAGCGATTCTGCTGGCCAGGAAGGATGTTCAGCAAACCAGATGTCCCACAGCAATTCTCAATTTCTGTAAGTTAAGATGTATTGTTCTATCTGGTACCTACAGAAGACATTTCCAAGACCTCCCTCCCGTGCTAACAAAAATGACAGCCTCATTTGTTTTCTGAGTCACAGACAAATAATGCAGCTGATCATCAAAACGTGTATGCCCAGAAAAACACATGAATGCTCTTCCAAGAAAATCATTATTGGCAGCTAATCAGATAATATCTTCTTTTAAGTATACAGTAAACTTCATCCTTATCATCAAGCCCATCTAAGTGCTTTGCTGAACTCCTGTCTGTGTCTGGTTTAAATAGTTTAAGTAGATCCTGGGTTTCCCTTACTTCTGGTGCACTGTGCAGCATTCCTTTCATATTTGTGGGGAAAGGGATTCACCGCCAGCCGAAGGGAGAAAATGAGAAGGTGTCACATATGCCCGAGTAGTGGTGACAGAGCTGAAGGTATTTATTTTAACCTTTTTCATCTAGAAGAACTTCAGATTTTATAAATTAGGATTTTGTGTCAGAATAAAGAGGAAGGGGAGAAATCTTACCAACACTACTGAGGTGCAAGATGACAACTACACTTTGTACAGACTTTAAACTGTGAGGTGTGTGACTACTCAAATAAACAAAATACAAGAGAAAAATAGTAAATAAAGTTATGGATGTTTGAGGTTTGTAAGGCAGTGCAAATCCTTCTCATTCTGAATGATCACAATCAATCACTTCCATGAAAGCTGTCACCTCAGTTAGATGGGTTACTCGCACATAGTCCGTGATACAGACAAAACGTCACAGTCATGTATGTGACTCCTCTGTCATTACTACCACTGACCTGTAAGAAATTATAATTATTTGAAGCTAAACAGGCAGCTGAAGCAGCTTCTGGAACTAGACAGGAACGCAGGAGTGCCCAGACAGCTGCCAGAATCACACACGGTGATTTACTTTCGTGTTCTTACCACTAGTTTTCCTGCATTATTACCAGATTTGGTTATAAATCACAATTAACAACCCTAATTTTGATCATCACCAAACTGATGCAGATTGAAGAAAGCCTGGCGTGTCCTAGCACCCTGTTTACAAAACAACATTTGTTGCTTTAGGCTTCCAACGGGTACCTCTGTGGCTGTACACCCAGCCAGCCACACAGACAGCAGCCTCTGCATGTCCTGTGAATCACACCCGTATCCTCTCCCTGTGGGGGCTGTATGAGGTATCAGCAGGTAACTCTGAACTCTAATTTACCTTCCAAACACCTCAACTCCGGTATATCAATTGAGTGTTAATACTCACACCTATTTCCTATTTATATACAGCCCTTTGTTGCAAGTATAAAGAGAAAAAAAAATAGATACCAAGTCTAAATAAAAAGAATATCAATAGTTATTGGTATGAGTGAGCTATCAGATGAAAATCAGACTCCAACCCACAGTTTTCAGCAGTTACAATGATTTGATAATGTTCTGTAAGACAAAATTTGGCAGAACTTAATGATAGGTTCTATGCAGGGACCTTGCACGGGTCACAGCTTTCCATGCTGCTTACATTCGGACTTACTTGCAAACGCATCACGTACAATTCATAGAAATGAAGTCTCAACGCCAGGAAGGATAACCAGAAACTGAAATTGCAGAGGATGACAGAGAATACATTCCCAGAAGCACTCCCTCAAGAAAAAGGGCTAATGGTCCCCCAGCCACTTCTGGCCATAACTTGGGATCTTTCGGGGATCCAGTACGGCAGAACGAGCAGCAGGCTCAGCTTCCATTTCAGTTTAAGTTGAGGCAATGTAGCACTTCACAAAATACCATTATTTTCTAAATACCTGAACTGAATTTCATTAAAAAGCACACCACGCAGCATTTTCTTACAGTATATCTGCATATAAGTGGCATTCAACGCAAGGAAAAAATCTGAGTCCATGCAGGACTGGCGTGCTGGAGAACCCCGAGACCTGCTCCTACACTGCAAGGTAAGAGACATTTGCCAAACATCCAAGCACAGAACAAATATCAATTGTTGCAGTAATTTCACTGATGTCACATACAAATGCTAAATGTTAAGTACATGTGTAAATGTGACGTTTTACTGAACAACAAAATAATTCCATTTTAATTTCTAAATTAATAAACCACTGTTTCTAGAGTAGGTAGAGATTTTAGAGAATTTTTTTCCAGACATGCATCCTTTGACAGAGAAATTGCTCTTGGGCGTTACCTCCACTGATGTACAAGTGCTCATCCCAGCTATTCAGAGCACTGCAATGCTCTAACTACTAAAAACCAGACTGTCAGTTTTCTCTTTTGAGACTGTCTTTCTTCAAGACCGTGGTCTTGATTTCTGAAGATCACTTTACTGAGTAATTCCCAACTGATTTTCTCATGAGCACTCCAGGAACGTATTTGGTCCAACGATCACTTCCAAAAAACACATCTGTGGGCTTTCCTTTCATACTAAGATTTAAAGATCCTAACAGTCACCTGACTGCACCACGACACCACACTCACTGACTCGTACCTACACCAACATGAAGCCTGGGAAGTGCACAGTGCAAGAAAAAGCAAATTTGATGAGAACTGAGCCTAGGGGAGAGAAATGAATAACGCATCAGTTTGTTTTAGCTCTTCCTCTACAGAAGTCTGTTCAACTCCTTGGCTGGATAATCACTCGCCTTTGAACATCAAACCTCTGTTATGAATAGCTCATCTGTCCGAGGGCCAGTCCTCTCCAAAAAGGCCCGGGGGTCTTAAAAGAATTAAGGTATTTTGTCAGAAGGACTGGTCCCACACATTTCTTGGTCTGTTCTGTAATAACATGGACTCACGTCCTCTGTAGACCAATAAAAATATATGCAAATAGCATGGGCATTTATAAACAACACCATGCAGTTAATTTCATAATACCTTAAAGAACTTCAGGTAAACGTACCCGCTAAATCAAGCGGCATTTTAAAACACACAGCAAACACAACAGGCAAACAGTAGAAACAAGAAAATCCTCAGTTCGTACCACAGTGCTTCCATTGTGCATGTTGTGTGTGTCCTTGTGGGCGTGGGCACAGAAATCGATGCAGGCTGTCACACCAGAGAAAGGCCTCCCATCCTTGGATCCCAGCCGACAGTCTGGGCCCATGTGCTCATTTTCCACCTGAAAGTAAAATTAACTACAGGTACTTGGGACTGCAAGTGAGCGACCTGGAACCCTGTGAGCCACAGCTGCCCTTGTGAGGGAATACATGCAGCCAGTTAAGAATGAGTGGAAAGCACGTACTGTCCTATGAAATGTGCAGCACCTCTGACTGGATGTCAGTGAGATCAGCAGCTCAGCCAGAGTCAAAGTGTCTTTATATAATAAAAACATTTTATTTACAGTATTATCTCTAAGCCTGTTATATATGCACAGCTCAGGGCATAACTTTGCCATCGGCTGAAATAAAAGAGGTGTGGTATTTTAAAACCACACACATGAAGTAACCGCTGTAGCAAGTTGATTCACCACATCTGCGGTTTCTACCCCTGAACATATTCTGGGATTTCATCTTGTTTCAAACTGTTGAGAGCCACACCAGGTGAACGTCACAGACTTACCTGGTTCTGGAAAGCTTCAGGAGCAAGCTTCTTATAAACTGGAGCCACATCAGTAGCTAAAGTTTGCAAATTATTTTCAAGAAGTTCCTCCTGCAAAGAAAGGCAACATTCAGAGCACTGTAATTTGCTTTAAAAGAATCCAATACAGTCTAGAGATGCCTGACAAGTCAGCAAAGCCAAGAAAGTCTGCCTCTTGTATTTCATTAATTTGACTTCTGTTCTGCTGCCTTTTGTCCCCAACCATAAATAAGCCTACTTTTGCATGACTGAAATACCAAAATCGTTAAATATAAGTCAACAAAGTAACAATGGAGGGTATCTGCTAGGGCAAAAAAAGCCAAGGAACTAATTTCTGTGTCATTTCCCCCTTCCGATGCACAGTGAGGGAACGAGGTACGTCCACACAGAACAGAGATGTAACATCTAGGAGAGAAAAATACCACGTGTGAGTGGAGATGAAACCTCAAGCCTTCTTGCTTACGGGGCCGTAATTTATGTTGATAAAGCCCTGCGAAAAGAATCCCAGGTTTCTGCCTTCTTTTTCTTCTGATCGCAGGAGTAACACCCAATAGTATTTAAAATTAATTTCAGCTCTTAAAGGCATAGGTTCATTTCTAACTTTGCAACAGGACTCTTTATCAAGAACATTTGGTAAATATTTTGTTCTTTGGAGATGCAAAATTCAGGGCTTTATGGAAATACCTACTAGACTGGGAAGTGGTATTCCTTTCCCTGAAGTAAGCTGTATAAACATGGAAGTAGTGAGTTGCCCTCTATGGCAGTGTAACGTTTAAGCTCTTACATATAGAAACAACCTCTACATTATTTCCCTAAACTTTTGCTTTTACAGGAAAATCACTCACAAACTGGGGAAGAAAAGGGTGGTAACATACTCCCTATTTCGTTTTCCTCTTTGAGAGACAACCCCAGCTTCAGTTTTGCGTGCTGTGTAGTGGCGACAAATAACGGCTCATTTTATGTTAAAAAACCAAACAAAAAACCCCAAACAAACCCACCAAAACCACCACCACTTATCACCATATATTGTAAACAGCAACGTATATAAACATATATGGGGACTTTCTCATGTTTTGATGTGCTATTACATTATTATTTTTACCTCATACCATAGCCAGTTTAGCAACTGTTGATCGCTACCACCAGTTTTTCTGAACTGCACCGAAGGTGAACACGTCCCTCATTATCTATCCTATGGACTGCTCTTACCTAGGTACATTACACCCTTAACCTCATCTCACTCCATCCGCTGCCTCAAATGATCCAAATTTTTCTGGACTTCGAACTATCTTCTTCTTAATTTTCTCTATCTCCTAGCTTAATGTCATCTGCAAAATCATCAATAGCCAATATTTAGCTACAAGAAGTATCTGCTAGAAAAATTAATGACAAAACCAAATGAAGAGAAAAACATTTACCAGTATTTTCACTTCTCTGAGGTGCACTGACCACCTGCACGTGCACTGCAAGTGCCTCAGCATCACTGTCACCCACAGCTGGAGGCTCTGGCGCAGCAGCAGCCTAAGGGTGCAGGCGCTTCCCTTGCAGGCACATACAGCTAAGGAGCACCTGGGTGCTGTGCAACCCTCACCCCCTCTCAGCTACAGAATCCAGAGGTTTTAAAACAACTTCCATGGAAAAGGGGAAATAAAGGAATGCACTTTTTGCCCAGACATCTAGAAAATATCCTGGTTAAGTAATCTTCTTTAGAAAACTGCTTTTACACTGTGGTAGAAGTTATTTTTCTCCAAAAATCCACAGGTCATGCCAGACAGCTCTTGTGCATGGGGCAGCATTTCCAGATGCGGCTGTGAATGCCGTGGTGCTCGGCTGAGTGTCCAAATGGAGCTCAGGGTGGCCACTTCACAGACTCAGAGGAAGCGATGCCACCACCAGAGCTTGCAGTCTCACAGTGCTTGTTCTGACCAAAGACAGATCTATTTGAGCTGTCTCAAGAGATCTGGCACAGCCTGTATGTCATTAGACAGTACATATGGGGGTTGCCATCGTTGTTGATTCCCCAGCTAATGGTTTAAAAACATTAGAAACCTACAGAGAAAACACATACACAGAATGCTCCATTCACAGCATTACACAGGGGAAGAGCCTAAAAACAGAAGGTTCACAGAGAAGGAGAAGGAACCGGATCCCTAAAATGAAGAAATGCCCAATAAGCACGTTTTCCTATCAACTGAAGATTTAGAAAACAAATTCCCTCTTGAGACAAGCAGGGATATTTTCAGCTTGTGCTGCCTCAGTCATGTACCGAGTGAGCAGAAGGGCCATGTGCGCTCTCTTTGGCCTAGGCAGAAGTTCCCCATTTTAAGCACTGGTGAAGTATGTAAATACCCACAACACGAGTGGACAGCACAACTTGGAGGAGACAGTTTTGCATTCATGCACATATGCTAAAGATGCATCATCAACTCTTTCAGGAAAAATTAAGACTTGGGAGGAGTATTTAGCTCCAGTTGATCAACTGACATCTCTCTCTTCCAAGAAACAACTTGTGTTTCACATTGTGCATACATACGAATGTGTGCACACCATTAAAAAACGCAAGAATCCCTCTGCTACCGTCTGGACTTGAGCCAACCAGGTCTTCTCTGTAGCTGGCAGCAGTGGGGTTCAGGAGCTGAGAAAGATTATGGGCAGGGTAACCCAAACGGAGACTGTAAGTGACTGCCCTACAGTAAACGTCTGTTACAGAATGCCAGATCTGCTGGTAGAGACGTGATACTCTTACCTAGGAGTCTGACTGGGAAGTGGGGTTACAGACCCCTACAGTCAGGACAAAAGGCATTTTCAAGTTACCCTGAGGAAGGTATGTTCACCAGGCAGCGATTATCAGTTTACATCACCTTTATTCCTTCATAAAAATATTGCCAATAAGATAATCTTTGGGTATTTAAATACATAGTAAACAACACTGCGTTTTCATACAGTGGAAACATTACAAATACTACAGTTACAAAACATGTAAGTGGGTGCCTGTGTGATAAGAGAGAAGAGCAGATATCTGTAGATTTCATTTCTAGATCTTACAATGATCAGAATAAGTATTTGGAGGAAAACAAAACAATGAAATAAATCTTACTTGTTTCGGGTCGTCGGTGAGAAGCCTGAATTTCCTGGGGTTTTTGCTTCTGGCAAACTTACAGCCATTGAAATACATACTCCACGAACAGCCAAATGAGAATGACGCTCCACAAGTTTCTGGATCAAGTCCTTGACACGCACAAGTACGACTATGAAAGGAAATAAAGAGACATCAAGTCAGCTGACAACGCAGCTTTTTTTTTTCCTTTTCCTTTTTTTTTAGGTCAATGCTATTTGCTGTTTCTTTTATGATACACAGCGTAGGAATTTATAAAATATATGGTTTAACCAGATCTTTGCTGTTAAGGAAATACTCCTGTGTAGAGGACTGACCTTTTTCTCCATAGAGACAGTCTTAACTCCCCAGAGTCCCACTTCTGGGAAATACATAACATACACAGCTATATAAATATACCCATGCTACTTTGACTTCTCCAGTTGGATAAAATTTTTATCAAAGAAAATATCACTGCTACTAATGGCTACCCCTAAATCCAATAGTTAATTAGTTTTGTGCAATACCATTAGCTCCAAATTGATCTAACATTTAGAGCTGAACCACTGCACTCAGCCTGACCCTTTAAGAACACAAGCATTAGATTCAGGTCACTCTACAGCTATGACAGTCTGTTAAATGTGGGCTACACAAAGCTGAGCACAAAGGCAGCACTGCTCCAAAGTCTCAGTTGCAATATTAATGTATCAGTTAAACTAAATTCCTCTCAGAGGCACAGAGAGGAAGATCCTCATTTTGAGTGTTCAATCTCTCGTTTATTTCAAAAAGTCACATACCACCTTCTTAGCAGCTCTGTAGCACAGCCATGTGTGCAAAGGGCATGCTAGGAGAGAAGGTGGTTGCCACTCCTTTCCTGGACTGTAGGTGCACAACTGTCACTTAGAGCCTGGTCTCTAGGAAAAGCCAGGAGCTAAGCTTTATACTGAAATGACACGTAGTGCTTTGGAGCTTTAAATGAGCTTTTGTGTATTTATTTTATTAGTTGAACTACTGAGTGTCAAGTTATTTATTGCAGGACATTCAAAAGGCAACGCACCGACCATTTACTACTGAAGTAACTTACTCTTCATTTAACGCACACCTACGGCTGGTGGGACAGCCGTATTTTCTGAGGCTCTGCGTCAGCTCCTTGTACAGCGTATCAGCCAGGAGATGAGGGATCCCTTCCCAGGCCAGTATGAGAATCACTATGACAGCAGTTTGACAGTGGTGTCCCGCACGCTGACGTACCAAGCACAGCAACTTCTCCTCATCGCTACTTCTTCGTATCACCTGGAAGAATCATTTGGTCTATTCTTAGATAAGTGTAGGAAACACATAATGTGTTACTCTTCTCTGGGACATGTAAGGCCTGGAAGAATAAGAAATAGTGCTGCCCAGAGTGTCCATCAGCAAGCAGGACTGGGACAGCATCACACACTGACATCTGGTGTAGAACGTGATTTGGCATTGACTTTTTACCTGTAGAAGCAGCAGCAGTACATTTTTACAGGAGTAATATTTCAGTTGTTCTACAGAAACAATAAACAAGATGGACTAAGAGGAAAATAACCACTACATGAAAATAATAATCCTGATCCACTGCAAACCTACCAGTTACCTTGAAAATAATACTGAAAACATACTGCTAAAACCCAGACTGCAGGTACACGGAAACACACCACAAAAGCACGTGTGTACATGGGTTAGGATGGTTACCATAGCTACCTGTCAGTACATAAGACGGTTCCCACCTCACAAAGAAAGATGAGAAGAAAGTGATGAAAATGAACGTTCTTAGTGAAGGAAGCAGTGAGATTTTTCAGAACATATCCCCAGACAACCTATGTTAAAGTTCTTCGCAGAATGCTGAAGGTTTTACTTAACTGTACGATATCCAAAGCGATCTTTGTCAACCTTACCCATAAAACACAAAGACTAACACCATTTGGAACAGCACAACTTACCACAGAACTACAGAAAAACAGAAAAAAGCTAGACAGTCCTACTCCCACATATTTTGTTTTTTATCGCAATCTGAAATGGAGTTGCGTTGTAAGAAGACAAAAAGATTGCATTAAAGCTAGGTAATACAAGAAAAAATATGTTTATCTGTTCTTGCAAAATATTTATCTATTCTTCAAACGTGTTCCAGCCAGTAAAGCCTGTACAGGGCCTCCAACAGAGGTGTCAATATCTCAGCGTTAAGCTTCAAACATCTCAGGCCTGGACCTCTCTCAGGCACTAGAGGTTAAATCCTCTTCCTCAGCTGTGTCACACACAGGATGGGGACCGGCCAGTCTCCTCCTTGCTGCGTGCAGATGGCGAGCCCTTACATTGCAGATATTCTCTGCCAGCTGTGTGGGAATACGCTTGGCTCAGGACAAGCAGGAGGTCACCCTGGCCTTCCACCCAACACCCCCTCTCCAGCAGCAGAACTCCCACAGACCTGGTACAAGTCATGGACTGTAAAAGCAGGAAGGCAATGGAGTTTCACTCGCTCTTCGAGTACCTCCAAATATCTGAGTTTTCAGGCAGATTCCCTACTGGGCTGACGTCAAAGCTGCTTTGTTGCCAGATGTGCAGATGTCGTTCATATGTGACCCCTAGCCTGATCAGTTGTGAATACCTAAATTATTTGAATTTATTAAAAGTGGAGACCAAGGTATGCTTGCAATTAATCTGCAGATGAAAAGCTTTTCAATAAATGAACAGTTTCAGAGGGAATCTGTGCAGGCTTAGCAGGAAGAAGCAAGCCTAAAGCTAATCTGAGTCAAGAGAGTATCAAGTCTCAAAGTACTGCCCTTCTAAAGTTAATCACACGGGTCTTACAGTCAGCCCTAAACTTCATGAGAAAACAAGTAAATGCACCCAAGATACCATTCCTCAAAAGGAGACTTGGTTGTGACTGACCAACCAGTGGAGTAGTTTTTATAAAGAAAGAAAAACAATGCAACTCATTTACATTTGAGTGAGGTTTACAGAAAACGCATTACGGCTGATACTTTCACTCTTTTTCTTAAATTGTTTTTATTTTTTTATTTCTAGACTTTGGAATTTCAATAAAGAAATGTGGTACCTCTTCATTTCTCAATCTAGCACCAGGTTGCCCTTTTTGAGTTCCCATATAGCTCTAAACTGGAAATACACAGTCCAGGAAAAGTGAGAAATGGACAGGAAGAAAATTTATAGTGTCCTTCAAACTAATACCACATTTCCCTGGAGTTAAACATTGCTGGAATTTGCTTCATTAGAGAATGCAATACTCTTACTGGACCCAAAACCACTTTACAATCCATCATCTTTTAGGCCACAAAGGTAGCTAATAGGCTTATTGTTGTCTGAATGTATTTTTTGTGGCTCTTAAGAGGCTACATTGCATGCTCACCTGACTACTACAGCCGCAGTGCTCCTGTCTTTTTGTCACCAGTGAAAAAGCACTTTTCTCACCTGTTATGGTCTTAGATGAGCACAACTTGCACCAAATCACACAGAACCACAGAATATTGGAGCTGGAAGGGACCTTGAAAGCTCATCCAGTCCAACCCCTGCCAGAGCAGGATCACCAGACCAGGTCACACAGGAACACGGCCAGGCGGGTTTTGAATGTCTGCAGAGAAGGAGACTCCACAACCTCTCTGGGCAGCCTGGGCCATGCTCTGTCACCCTCACAGTAAAGAAGTTTTTCCTCATGTTCACATTGAACCTCCTATGCTCCAGCTTGCTCCCATTGCCCCTTGTCCTGTCGTTGGCTGTCACTGAGAAGAGCCTGGCTCCTTCCTCCTGACACTCGCCCTTTACAAATTTATAACCATGAATGAGGTCACCCCTCAGTCTCCTCTGCTCCAAGCTAAAGAGAGCCGCTCCTCATCAGGGAGATGCTCCACTCCCTCCAGCATCTTTGTGCCTCTGCACTGGACTCTTTCAAGCAGTTCCTGTCCTTCTTGAACTGAGTCAATCACGGTTCCTCCAGGCCTGCAGTCAGTGACCGTGCAGAGCTGGAGCCATGTCGCTTTTCCCATATAAACTGGTGATGCCCCTTCCCATCCTATGGCTGGCATTCTCAAAGCAGTAATAAACAGAACCTCTCATATGCAATAACAATAAATACACAGCAATACCACACTCGCTATACAGAAAAGCACATTTGAGTAGGACAACTGAAAACTATGGAATAAATCCAGCCAACAGAAACACCAC